TCTAGACTCCTGCTTACCCTTCAGATCTCCATCCCTCGATTCAGGGTCTCATAATAAACATGTATACTTCTACATATATGTATATGTCCAGGCTAGAGCCACGGCAGGAAGAAACAGTCAACACATCCATGTTTGCATTTTCCCAAGCCGAGCTAATCCTGGCTTCCATCCCAGGCTGGATTTTGTGGGCATCCACTAGAGGAAAACTGCAGACTTTTCTGCTCTTATATGAATTTCATAACATATGTGTGTCCTAGAAAGAGGACACCTGCCCGATGCCCATGACCTTATTTAAGCAAACCTATCATGTGCTTTAAGAATAAAGGCATGCGTTATATGCGGAATCTAGAAAAATGGTACAGATGAACCGGTTTGCAAGGCAGAAATAGAGACACAAGTGCAGAGAACAAATGTATGGAGTCCAAGGGGGGAAAGGGCTGGGGGAGGGTGGTGATGGTGGGTTGAATTGGGAGATTGGAATTGACATATATACACTAATATGTATAAAATAGATAATTAATAAGAACCTGCTGTATAATAAAATAAAATTCAAAAGAAGAGAATAAAGGCATGAGTAGCTACATAATTAATAATATGCAAATTATTCTTTTCCGGGGACCACTTGGTCTTTAACATACAGAGACAGAAGAACATACAAAGAGAGACTCTCTCTTTTACACACACACACACACACACACACACACACACACACACACACCGCGCGCGTGCGCACCTCTCCCCACTATCATTATAATTACCACGCTGGCTTCCAGATCAGGGGTTAGCAGCCTTGGCACAGAGACGCCTGAAAGCCACCCAAGGCAATTAGTGGTGTCGCTTCTCCACCCCCTCCTTACCTTCAGGGCCTTTGCACTTGTCGTTCTCCCTCCAGGCACACACATCCCCTGTCCTTGTGTGGCTCACGCCCTCCCTGCATTTAGGTTTCATCTCAAATACCACCTCCTCAGAGAGGCCTGGCCTGGCCACCTCCATGGCTCTCTGTCTGCTCACCTGCTTTGTTTTTCCGTACAGAACTTTTCACTCCTGGGCATTATACTGTGCATTTCCTTGTTATCTAACAGCCATCCCCCTGCCAGCACTAGACCGTGAGCTTTGAGAGGTTCCGTGATGACGACCACGTGCCTGGAGCCTAGGGCATGCAGCCGGCTCTCGGTCAGTTTCAGTGGAACGAATGAATGATTATTCCTCTTCTTTCCATGTCCGTCTTCTCCTTGCTCCTACTTCTTCTCCTGCCTCCGCCTTCAAACTGCTGGCAGGATGAGACCTCAGGAAGTTGTCGAGCAAGTGAGGTCTGTGGTCTGGGCTCTTCGTTGTCCATCTCCCTTTCCCACTCTCCTTCATGGGTACCCATCTCCTACCTGCAGCTGTCCACTGCCAGCTCTGGCCTTCTTGGTGGGCAGGACCCAAGCTCAGACAGCCCAGGTGATTGGAGGGAAATTGGGAACTAGGGCCGAGGGAGGTTGTAAGAAAGACAGGACTTAGTCTCCAAGGCAGCCCTGCCAGGTTGGTGGAGAACGGAGCGTCGTTTGGGGCGCCCCTCTGCACCTGCGACCCAGCTCGTTGTCTTGCTCACGGGAGTCAGTGCCACCCTTATGGGGCTCAGCCCTTCCCTCCTTGCCGGTTGATGCCCCCTCTCTCCTGCCGTGATTGACAGTATCTCCCCCCACCCCACCCTTCTCTCCTTCCTGGCTTCTGCTTCCTTCTGTCATAATCATAGAGAGAGAGAGTCTGCTGCATGCCAGGTCCCGTGCTGGCGTCACCCCCCCACCACCCGATATGGGCCCCCCTTGCTCCCTTTCTTTCTGTTGCCTCTCCTCTCGCCCCTCTGAGTCCTGGCAGCCTTCAAAGCTCAGGACCCCACTCCTGCCTTGTTCCCTCAAGCTCCCACCCTCCCCTGACTATCACTCTGGTGACAAAGGGTCACATACTCCACAGTTGTACCTAGTGCCCTCATTTTCCACTTGACCCTCAGCAAAATTATAAACTGCTTGAGGGTAGAAGCTGTGTCTTATCCTCAGAAACCTAACATAAAACGATCCGGGCAAACAGCTTCTTTGCACAGAAGTCAGATCTTCCCCTCCGCCCTCTCACCATTATCCGTACATCCCAGTCTATTCCACCCACCTGATCTCACGAGGGAAGAAATCCTAAATAAACTGAACAACAACTCTGCGACCACAATGCATATAAGTCGCCTACTGCATGCTGGGTACTTGGGGTGCCCTGGGGAGCAGCAACAGACAAGAGTCCCTGCACTAAGGAGCATCCCAGGCAGAGGACCAGCATTTGGAAATGGGTAACTGAGCTCCAGCCAGTCCAAAGAAAGTTGCATCTTTTAACAGCGAGGGAACCGTATAGTTTATTGCCCAAACCAGGACATTTTTGAGAGTAAAAGTGGGAGTTGTTAATAATTACGCTGCGCCAATAGGTGTCCTGGACAAACCAGGTGCGTGATTTCATTAAGAGCGACAGTCCCCCTGCCTCCTGCCCCTCTGGCCACAAAAGGAACTTCAGCTGTTGGTCAAAGCTGCCAGATCTGCGCCTCTGCCTGCCCTTGGACAAGGGAGGAGACAGAGGATGCACTCCAGGAACGGGTGGGGGAGGGGAGGGCAGGAACGCCTGCAGGACCCAGAGCTAGAATCAATGATCAGGAATCAGGGCAGGCCTGCGTCTGGGATCAGGTACGAGGGCTGTGGGATATGGTACCAGCCTCCAGCTGCTGTGTTTCTGAGCTCGGCTCACAGGCAGGTGGCTTTTGCAGGCTCTCCACCCTCCCGAACTGCCCAAGTCCTGCCTGCTTTGAGGAGAATGGGGACGTTCGGTTGCCGTTTGGCTTCTTTGAGTTTCTTTCACTCTACCTCCTTGGGCAAAGGTGGTCTGGTTTGTACTTGCAGTCTAGATGGAGCCCCTTGGAGTGTGTGTGTGTGTGTGTGTGTGTGTGTGTGTGAGAGAGAGAGAGAGAGAGAGAGAAAGAGAGAGAGACAGAGACAGAGACAGAGACAGAGACAGAGAGACAGAGAGACCTATTTCCTTATGTCCCTCTGTCTGTCTGACTCTGACTATTAATACAAGCCACACGTCTGGCTGCACCCCCAGAGCATATGCTCCTGCAGCAGAACGCTGCCCCTCCCAGCTGAGCCTGTTGTCTGTTCCGTTTCTGATCGGCGCCAGGCTCAGAGACCCCATGTAGGTAGAATATAACTTTCCATAAATAATTCCCAGCCCGACCTACAATTTAGATTTGGGTTGTTTTCCCCTCGTGGTAATGGGAGTGTAACCTGGGCTCATCCCTCCTAGATCTCCGGGTCCCAGAAGCCGACCCTAGGTGTATCTCGGGGTTGGGGCATTGGTTTGAATCCCTGGTTCCCCCACGCTACCTTACACACGACGAGGACTCAGTACACGTTAAGGAATTGAGTCTCCTCTGCCCACGAACCTTCAGCCTCAGTGCCTTGGCTTGGGCCGTGCCCTCTGCCTAGAATGTCCCTGCTCCCTTCTCCACCTGGTGAACCGTGCTCCCTTCTCCACCTGGCGAACCGCTAAGGAACACACGCCTCCGTGAAACCCTCCCTAAGCTTTATCCCTCATCCCCACCCACCACAGAGTAAATCACGGCCGTCCTTGGTCCTCGTAACACTTTGTACAGGACAATGTGACTTGATGATTTGCCCACGTGCCCACCCAACCAGGCTCTGAGCAGCTCGAGTGTCAGGGAGAGGAACTCAGCCCATGGCTCAGATTCAAACACAAACCTGGCTCCAGAGCCCGTGTCCCACCCACCTGTGCCACACTGCATCTGGGGGCTGGACGATGTATTCATTTCCTACCTGCTCTCGTGTTCTGGGCCCTGGGACACTCCTGACGATGCGTGGATTCCCTGTAGGGTCTCACTAAGGTCTCCTTGGGGCCTGGAAGCGGCAACACCCACTGACACCTATCAAAGACTTGATGATGATAATGAACTTAGGAGCGCTCATCGGGAGTTAAAGGGAAAAGTTAGGGGGAGGACCTCAGCTTACTTTGGGGGTGGGGTTACCCCAAGATGGGCTGGACTTCATTCAAAGTTTTGCAATTGATCATCCCTCCTTATGGCAATGGAAGAATATTTCTTGATTCTCAGCTAGCGTCCAGAACCATTAGGCGAGGTAAGAGTTTTGAGAGAAGCACAAGACATTGTCCCTGCTTGGGAAGGGTTTACGTGTTCACCGGGGAGGCATAAAATTCACATGTGGGAAGAAGCTTGACTGAGCTCCTGTGAGCTGGTCCTAACATGTAGTTGGCTTTGTGTCTATCCCAGTATTAAGCACAGCTCCGCCAGGTGAAACAGGCGGTCCATGAGTGAATGTCCAACGGAAGACACAGAATCAGAAACCAAAGGAGTGGCACGGACGAAGGGGCTGGACATCTGAGGAGAGAGGGATCATCGGGGATTGGATTATCTCTGGAAGGTTCACGGTAGAGGTGACAAAGAACATGCACCCCAGAGAAAGAGCAGGAGTTGTTGGGGGTGGTAAGCAAGGGCGGTAAGCCGGGTGGGCAAGGATCAGGACAGTCTGCGGCCACTTGGGAGTAATTAAGGGAGTTTGGGAGAATGGGGGATGGGAATCAAGCCGACTTCCGTGTCAGAGTGAGAAGCCTGAACTTGATCCTGGGCAAGGAGAAGCTATTGAGGGATTTTTGAGCAGGGGTAGGATGTGATGAGAACAGTGTTTTTGGAAGGCAGTGTGAAGGGCAGGCTGCTAAAGGGACACCAGGCTGAGGTTAATACAATGGCCGAGGTGAAGGGATGAGGTCTCGGTTTGGAAAGGAAGGGATGAACATGACCTTTCAAAGGAAGGACATAATTGCCACAAGGGCCACCATAACACAATCAAAGGTGCCTCCCAGGTTTAAGATCTAGTGACCAAGAGAAAGATGTTAACGTTGACAGAAATGACCACGTGTGGTTGACAAAACAAGACCACATCCTTTCCGTAACAATTCATTGTCTTTATTAACAATGTTTCTGGATTCTGAAAGAACAGACTGATATTTCATAAAGCAATATTAACGTTGTCATTCTCTACAAGAAAAACTTTTGCATAAATAACTTAAGTGAGAAAATAAATATGTAACTTAACTTTTTTTTTAAACTGCTACTTTCATTCTTGTGGACAAATTCCACATGAAAAGATTGCAGAAACGACCAGCTGGGCAGGCTTTCACATGGCATGTGCTTCTGTTTAAAAAAAAATTTTTTTTTAGCAATTAAAAACTGCACAGAAAGTAAGTGGTATCTGGAAATGATTTTCCAAAAGATTTTTGGATGGCAGCATTAAGCTTTGCAGCTTCTCAGCATATATACAGCACTTGTAATTTCTTCCCCAATAATATTATTTTAATGTAAGCTATGCCATCACACATAACAGCAGTGAGAAGCTCTTTTCCAGACAGAAATGTGTCCGTGAGTGGTAGGCAAGCGGAAGTGCCTTGGAAGGGACCCACTGGCCTTTGAATGGGTGGTGGCTGCCCTCTTGGGCCCGGAAGCCCAGGGTGCTGGGACCTTGAGGTTCTCTGCAGAGGGTGATATGGCCATGGTGGCGGGGGGTGGGGGTGTTGCTCTTTGGGAATAGGGGGTGATTTCTGTGCCTCCCACCACCCTTGGGACCTTCTTCTCTACCCCAGTTGACGGTGCTGTTTCTGCATCCTTTGAGATGGAGGGGTGGAGGTAGCCAAACATCTGGGAGGCCAGGCTGGGACACACCACAGCTTCTTGCACGAGTTTGTCAGCCATAAATAGACTCTTTTCTCTTTCCCTGCTTGTTTTTCATCTTTGGCTGTCAGATCAGAGGATTACAACTCCGAATTCTGGAAGCGACCACATCAGTGACTCAATCCAAACGCTCTCTCCTCTGCCCATTCAAAGGGCACCCGAGTCCTTGGAATTATATGACAGTAGATTCCTCCAGATGTTAATTCCTCCAGATGTTAATCCCACCCCCACTTCCATTTTACAAAGAGGAAATCAAGGTCCAGAAAGAGAAGAGTGTAATAATCCGAGGTCACCCGGCACGTTAGTGGCAGAGCCAGGACTAGAAACCCTATCTACGGACCCCAGTCACGTGTTCTGGGCACAACTTGCCAGGCAGGGAGGTGGGGGGAAGGGGAATCTTATCGAACTTTCTTAACCAGTCCCTGGACTTTTCTCCACTGCTCCCTTAAAACTCCAGGGCAGTGAAATGCTTCCTTTTCTGCCTCCTCTGAAGTGGGACCAGCAAAGGTAGGCGGCCCGGAGGGCGGGGTTGCGTGGCTCAGTGTCTGTGACTCTCAGCTCCCTCCCATGCCCCTGGGGACCCCCTCTGCAGGCGGGGGTGGGGGGGGCGCTTTGCTGACACCCGGATCCCCAGGGCCTGCAGCCGGGAAGGTTTCAGCCCCCGGCCCTGGGTTGCAGGTATTTAAAGTGAAACACAAATGATCAAACCGCGCGCGCAAGGGGAGGAAACCTGGGGCGCCTGGGTCGGGAGCCCCCGCTGGGGGCGCGGCGCGGCGGGCGGGCTCTAATAGGCGTTCTCCAGCTCCGCCCGGTTGGCTTTGGCGTCCCGGGCGCGGGGCCGCGGCTTCCGGCCCTTCTGTGGCCGGGCGGCCTCGGGCCCGAAGTCCTTGAGCTCAGACTGGTTGTGGAAGCGGGTGAGGCGCTTGCATTTGCACGAGGCCACCAGGCGCACCTTGCGCGCGCGCGGTGCCGCGCCGCCGGGACACAGCAGCTGCACCCGCTGCGCGCGGTAGCGGTCGGGGATGCAGCGGAAGTCGGGCCCGCTCGGGCGCCACCACTTGCCGCGGCCGATGGCGTTGGGGAGCAGGCGCGCCGGGCCACACTGGCCCGAGCACACTAGCTCGGTGACCGGCTTGGCGCTGCGGCACTGCCCGTCCGTCACGTAGCGGGTGAAGTGCAGCTCGCGGCAGCTGTACTCGGAAGCGTCTACGGAGAGAAGCGCGCGTGAGGGCGACCGTCCGTCCCGCCTCCCTCCAAACCACTCCGCCTCTTCCAAACCTGCCTCTCCCTTGACCCTTTTGCCTCTGGGGATCTATTACGGGAGGGGCCCAGGTACTCTGGAGTTGGGGGAAAGATCTCCGATCCACCCTCTCCCCCTAAAACTTTGGAGCCAAGTGATTGCTTCAGTTCAAATATCAGCTCCATGACTGTGTGACCTTGGACTAGTTACTTAACCTCTCTGTGCTTCCTATCTGTAAAATGGGTTGTCTTGAAGATTCAGTGAGCTAATCCATTACATCTATAATGCAGAGGACACTGCCTGGAACATACTAAGAGCTGGAAGTGTTGACTGTTATTATGTTATTATTATTCCTCTCCAAGGGGGCCCTCTTTGCCAGACTTAAGTCACATCTGTGCCACAGGGCCTCAGTAGGGTAGGTATTAGCCACATTCTCTGAATGGCTCTGGCTTCTCCCAAATTCCTTTTCCAGCCGGTTGTGAGGGGAGACTGGGAGTCGGGGGATGGAAAAAGGAGTAGGGGTTAATTGAAATAATAAATCAGGGCAGCTACTGAGAAGAAGGATGGAAGGGGAGGTGGAGAGGAGACCGAAGTCGTCAGACTTGAAAGGAGCCAATGGCAGCATGTCCAACCCCCTCATTATCACTGTGGACACTGAGTTCCAGAGAGGGAAAAGCTCTTTCCAGGAGCCCCTGACTCTGCTCCTCTGGGGTCCCAGAGCTCCTCAGCTCCCGCAAGGGTGGAAGCTGTGTGCCCGAGCACCGAGGGAGGCTGGGTGGGGGACAAAGGCCTGCTTTTTACTATTTTTACTATGGTTACTTCCCTACCAGAGGGAGACCAAGCTCTGACTGAAAACCTACAGCTTTGGCCGTCACAAACATTTATTAAGCACGTGCTGTGTACCAGGCACCGTGCTGGGCGAGTCTCTTCTGTGACATTTGATGGACAGCCAGTGGTGGCACAGGCTTGCTCCCTGGGCAGAGAAAGTTTGGGCTCTAAGGCCTGGTTTTGTCCCCGAAGACGCCTTGATCATGTCTCCTAGTGTGGGCTTAGGTGGGTGGGAGCTTTTTTAAACAGCTTGTCCTCGTGTGAGCACCTGCCCATCCCCAAGGGTCTCACAGGGACAGTTCCAATGTGACACAAAGGGATGAAAAATAGTCCTAAGTCCAAAACCAGAGAGGAGGCAAAGAAGGCCAACCCCAGCCCCCCGCCGCCCCCGTGAGAACAAGCACAGCAGGGGAGAGGTCAGGGTTCCCTCGCCCATGGCTGCGGCCTCCTGGCTTCTGGGTTGGTTTGGCATCCTCACCTCCGCTCCCAGGCCCCAGGGGTGGTGTGTGGGCGTGGCCTGTTTGCCCAGGGAAGGAGGCTTTGGGGCTTTCCAAGAATAGTACCCCTAGGTTAGGCGCTTCCTCTGCAAAGGGCGACTTTGTTTTGAGCACGTGGCTTCCTCCCGGCCTGTAGCTCTCATGGGAGCTCAGGGAGGACGTCTTGTGCTTGGGTCCCCTACAGTCCATTGCTTGAGCTTAGCTGACCTTCCCTGGGCAGGAGCAGGGGAGAGGCCACTTCGGGGGGGTGCCCTTTGCAGACCCCCATTCCCAGCTGGTTGTGAGGCAGGGCAGGATGGGATGCAGGGGCCTGGACAGTGGACTCCTCTCCCACCTGGACCATAGCCAGAGGGCCTCACTCTGAAGCGTCATTCCAGCCCCCGCCCCCAGCCATTCCTGCCAGCTGCAGAGCCAGCTGTGCACACTGCCCCCCAGGCTTCTATGTGCAGACCTGACCAGGAACCCAGGTGTGCCATCCACTGGGACCACTGCCTTTCCGCTAGGGTCAGTGTCCCTCCCAGGAAGGAGGCAAGTCAGGGTCTGGGGTGGGGATTCAGGACAGATGGTGCCACCTGTGTCCACACCCTGCACAGAGGATGCTGCCTCCCCTCCAGGGCCTGGACCCAGTTACCACCCAGGTCAGAAGCTAAAACTGCCTGCAGCTCCTATTCCCTCGAGTGCCAGCTCACTGGGTAGACCATGGGTGGTGGGAGCTGAAGGGGTGCCTCTTTGGTGTCCCTTTCCCACTGCTTTGCAGGGATCTGCTCTGGCTTTCGGCCTCCGATGCCCCCCACACAGTCCCCCACCGGGGCTGTCTTGAAATTGGATCAAACTGGCTTCAAATCTCAGCTCTCTACTCACTAACAAGCTACTTGTTCTCTGAAGCCTCCGTTTCTTCGCCTTCAACTTGGGAGCTCCCCAGGGTGTGGTTCACGCACAGCCCATGTAGTGTCTGCACCCAGCAGGCGCTCGTAGACGTGAGGCCCCCTTGCCTTACTTCCTCCCCAGTGGTGTCAGCAGCGGGACCCTGCTCCTCTCTTCTCAGGAGGGGATTCTTTGAAATCTCCTTTCTGAGCCCCTGAGGCTGTCCCTCTCCACCTCAGCCTCCTTCCTGCTCTGGGCTCTCGCTGCCAGCCCCCTACCAGCCCCACACCCTTGCACTTGAATTCCAGGGCTACGCTGGCATGCCATCCTCACCCTGCCTACAGGCAAGATGGTGCCTTCACTGGTGCTGGCAGCGGCTGACAGTCTACCCCAGTCTTCAAAACCTCCCCAAAGAGAACCCTCCCAGGACCCTTATGCTAAAAAGGCTCTCCTCCATCCCATACCTTTGGTCTCAAAGGGGTGGTGGGGAGGCCTCCCTCCGTTTTCTGCCCGGTTCATGGTCTTGTTGTTCAGCTCTGGCGGAGGCTCGGGGTACTCGCCCAGCTCAGGGATGATTTCCGTGGCATCATTCTTGAAGGCCTGCCACCCCTGGCCCTCCACCACACGGAAGGCTGCGTGTACCAGCAGGCAGACGAGACACAGGGCAAGAGAGAGCTGCATGGTGCCAGCTGGAGGGGGGCACCCGGCCTTCCAGCAGCACAGGCTCAGGTCCCCAGCTCAGACACGTTTGCCTTTTTAAAGCCCCCTCTGCCTCGTGCCAGCCAATGAGGACAGGCTGGGGCAGGGCTGGTCCCATGCTTCCCTCAGCCCAGGGGGAGGGAACGGGGTGTGCTCCGAGCAAGCCCTCCCCAAAGACTCCTCCTTGAGCTCAGAAATCTCCCAAATTGCTGCTGGTGCTCCCAGGTGACCCACAGTGAGGGGGCGTGTGAGGCAAGCCTGCTCTCAGAGCCTCCCACGTGCAGGCGGCTGCGGTTTTCAGATATCAAAATGAGCTCCTAGTCTCTACCTCCCTGGGTCCCTCGGGCTTCCTCCAAGCAAACTTTGGACCAACTTAACAAAGAAAACAGCAGCTCTGAGTCCTCCACATGTCTTAGCCCAGCCGATCCCATTTCTTAGGCCAAGTTCATTTGTCACCCCACCAAAATAAAACAGCCCTAGGGGTGTCTCTTTGGCCCTCACAGACCCAGGCAGAGGCAGAAGGCTACTTTTTTTTTTTTTTTTTTTTTTTTTGCGGTACGCCGGCCTCTCACTGTTGTGGCCTCTCCTGTTGCAGAGCACAGGCTCCGGACGCGCAGGCTCAGCGGCCGTGGCTCACGGGCCCAGCCGCTCCGCGGCATGTGGGATCTTCCCGGACCGGGGCATGAACCCGCGTCCCCTGCATCGGCAGGCGGACTCTCAAGCACTGCGCCACCAGCGAAGCCCAGAAGGCTACTTTTTAAGAAATCTCATTGGTCCCAACCCCATGCAGCTCAGCATCAATTATCCTGACCAAGAAAGCCCCTCTTGTCATCCCTCTGGAAGGCAAGAGGGAAAACTGGAGGATCACAGCTGGGGCTTCCACTTGGCTGAAGGGGCAGGGATTCCGGTTTCAAGGCCAGGATGAGACGTCAACAGGCTCTGGTGATGGAGACAAGGAGGAAACCTCAGCTCATGCTCCTCGGGGATCCTGTGCTTGGTGACAGGCACTTGTTGGCAGGCTGATGGGCCATAGTTATTTCCTGGACCAGGCTGTGGGTAGGAGTGGAGAGCACAAAACCCCTTTTCTTAGCAAAAGTGAAAGCCAGCATTTTTAGTGCTGATATATATATTTTTTTCTTGTCTCCCAGCCCATTACATTTTTCAAAACCAGCTTTGAGTCCTATATGGAAAACCTTATTGGTGCATAGCACAGGTGCCTTCTGTGAAGCCATCCCAGGTCCAGCTAGTCACAGAGAACCCAAAAGGAATTGCTACCTTGGCCCCAGAGAAGAAGGAGGGGCCCGGGGGGGAGGAATGTTCACACCTGAGATGCAGGACAAGGAAAGACGGCCAGCGGAAGCTTTCACTGCAGACAGATTGTTTGAGGAGGCGCACCCACTCCTGGCCCTGAAGGAGGCTGCGAAGCGGGCTGTGGCCCAGGTCCCTTGGTATTTTCAGTGGGCAATGAATCAGTGCACCCCACCTGCAGAGCCTCTGCAAAGCCTCTGCCACCTGCCTCAACTTGTAAGTCGCCGTGTCCATCTGCGGCCTTCTGTCCCTCCTTTCCATCATCCATCACTTGACACATGAATGCAGCTGCTCTGACAGTTTTACAAGCCAGACAGAAGCCCCTGCAGGAAGGGCCCTCTCTGATACCTGCTTCCTAAGTCAGTTTCCTTCAGGGCAGACGAAAACAGCTGTGGCCATTGTTGCGGGTGATCTATCTCTCCCAACAGAGCCGGTGATGTTGTGAGAAGGGGGCCCTCGGAACCCTGTCCCTTTGTCTGTGACCCTCCAGCCTCCTTTTCCCTTGCCCTGGAATGTGGACCGTTAACCCTGTTGTGGCCGGACAACTGCCTTCTTGCCCTCGATTTCGGAGAGGGCAGTTCTGATGCCTGGATTCCTTGAGCTGGCGGGACTGATGCTGGAGCCCCACCTGCTGTTGGGGTCTGCAGCTCATCCACAGGAAACGGAGACCGTGGGGACCATCCTTGGAATACTTCTGCCACCTGCTGGAGACGGAAGGAGAAGCCAACGATCGGAGGATGGCAAAGCTCAGGGTTTCGTTTCATTTTATTGTTGTCATTTTATTTGAAACTGAAGTAATGTTTAAAGAGAGAGCGAGAGGTAGAGAGAAGAAGAAGGAGAAGGAGGAGGAGAAAGAAAAGAAGGATCCAGTGGACTTGAACTTCTGAATTATCTCCATCCTTTTGAATTAACTCTCTGCCAAGGTATAGCCGTGCTTTTCACAAAATGGCTCAGAGAGAACCTGCTGTGATGCCATCTGCTTTTTCACTTAACACTAATTCGCTTTTATATTTATTCAGTCCACAAACTTGTCATTGTTCAGAGCTAGACAACACTCCCCAGAGTTAAACCCTCAGGGCTTTAGCTGACTTCTGTTGTGGGTAGTTTAGGTCATTTCCAATGCTCCTCTATCCTCGGATAGGGATGCTGTGAACATCCTTGGACAAAGTCATTTTTTTGAATTAAACTTTTTATTTTGGGGTCCTTGTAAATTCACATGCACTTGTAAGAATTAATACAGAGAAAACTCCCTGTTCCCTTCGCCCAGTTTCTCTCAATGGTAACATCTTGCAAAAACCAGGATAGTAACATTGATACAATCCACCAGTCTTATGCAGATTTCCCCAGTGTTATTTGTACACGTGTGTGTGTGTTTCTATGCAACTTTATCACGTGTTGGTTCAAGTAACCACCATCACAGTCAAGACAAAGCACAACTCTGACTACAAAGATCCTCTCATTGCCCTTTTATAAGCATGCCCTTCCCCTTCACTCCTGACCTAGGGTACCACTAATCTGTTCTCTATTTCTACAGTTCTGTCACTTCAAATAAATATGTTATATAAATGGAATCAGTCATGATATAACCTTTTAGGACTGGCTTTTTTCACTCAGCATCTTTCCCTGAAGATTCATCTGAGTTCTTGCCTGTATCAGCAATTTTTTCCTTTTTATTGCTGAGTAGTATTCCACAAAGTCTTTTATTTTAACTGTAGGGTTATTTCAGAAGTGAATTCTGGGTCTGAGAGGATAAACAGTCCCCAGGCCCATGAGCAACATACAAGGCATGTGCCTTAGTTTGCTAGGGCTGCTGAAACAAAGTACCACAGATTGGGTAGCTTAAACAACAGAAATTTATTTTCTCATAGTTTCTGGAGGCTGAAGTCTGAGATCAAAGTGTTGGCAGGGTTGGTTCCTTCTGAGGGCTGCGAGGACGAGTCTGTTCCGTGCCGCTCGCCTAGCTTCTAGGGGCTTGCTGGCAAGCTTTGGCATCCCTTGGTTTGCAGAAGCTTCGCCCCGATCTCTACCTTCATCTTCACGTGCTGTCCTCCCTGTGTGCACATCTGTGTCCTAATTCCGCCTTCTTATGAGGACATCAGTCATATTGGATTAGCGCCCACACTCATGACCTCATCTCAACTAATTACATCTGCAACGAGCCTACTTCCAAATAAGCTCACATTCTGAAGTCCTTGGATTCAACATATGAATTTTGGAGGAACACAGTTCAATCCATAACAGCATGTTTCTCCACAAGGCTGCCAACCCTGGGTTTGGGCTGTTAAATTTTTTTTTATTGAATTTATTTATATATTTGGCCATACCACGTGGCATGCAGGATCTTAGTTCCCCGACCAGGGATCAAACCCAGGCCCTCTGCAGTGGAAATGTGGAGTCTTAACCACTGGACCGCCAGGGAAGTCCCTTAAACTGAATTTATTTATTTAAAAAAAATATTTATTTATTTGGTTGCACCGGGTCTTAGTTGCGGCAGGCAGGCTCCTTAGTTGTGGCTCCAGGGCTCCTTAGTTGCAGCTCACCAGCTCCTTAGTTATGGCATGTGAACTCTTAGTTGAAGCCTGCATGTGGGATCCAGTTCCCCGACCAGGGATCGAACCCGGGTCCCCTGCACTGGGAGCGTGGAGTCCTATCCACTGTGGCACCAGGGAAGTCCCCCTATTGAATTTTTTTAAAAATAAATTTATTTATTTATTTACTTATGGCTGCATTGGGAGTTGGTTGCTGCACGTGGTCTTTCTCTAGTTGTGGTGAGCAGGGGCTACTCTTCATTGTGGTGTGCGGGCTCCTCATTGCAGTGGCTTCTCTTATTGTGGAGCATGGGCTCTAGGCACGTGGGCTTCAGTAGTTGTGGCACGTGGGCTCAGTAGTTGTGGCTCACGGGCTCTAGAGCGCAGGCTCAGTAGTTGTGGTGCACAGGCTTAGTTGCTCAGGGGCATGTGGGATCTTCCTGGACCAGGGCCCGAACCTGTGTCCCCTGCATTGGCAGGTGGATTCTTAACCGCTGTGCCACCATGGAAGTCCCCCCGCCATATTGAATTTAATACTTTAGTAGTTGCACCTAAATTTCTAGCAAGGCTGTTTTTCTACGTGATGATTTACTGGGTTTTGTTTCTACCAAGCTGCCTGTTTATAAGTCCACCTGTCAAACATTTAATGAAGCAAGGCCTCCTATCAGGCACGATGAACTCATACACGCTCTCCACCAAGGAGCTCTGGTACCAGGGAAGGAATAAATTCTTCACCCAAATAACTCTAATGCCGGGTAGAAAGTGATTGGTGCCACTAGGAAATCTTCAGATACATTCTTTAAACAGGATAAAGTGTTATGGGCCTTTAGAGAAGAGAACAGTCTCTTCCCCCTGGGGTGGTTCTGGGAAGATGTGGCATTTGGACCAGACTCTGAAGGACAGGCCAAATTTGGAAAGTAAGTTATGCTTGTCTGACTCCTCGGGATTGTAGACTGTTTGATCTGAAAGGGACCTCCAAGGTAGGTTAGTTTCACTCTCTACTTGGTTCCCAAGCTCCCGGTCTCTAATTCATGGAAACTGAGGACTCTTATTAGCTGCATTTTTAAACAGAGTTTGCTGCCACAGATGAGTGGTAAAAATGGAGGATCTGGATTTGGAGGGCAATCTCTGTTTGTAGGCAGTTGCCTACCCCGAGGGAAGTCCAGATCAGCCTGTCTTTATTCCCAGTTGAGAACTTGCT